CTGGCGGAGGTCACGCTGGATCTGATGCTTTGAAAGCTCGAGCGCGTCCATCGCGGGCGGCGGGAAGCGTGGAAGTGTCCGAACAGGGAGCTGGGCCGCCGCCGCGGGAGAGAAGGCGGGGTAGGGTGTCAAGAACACAACGAGGGCAGTCATCGTAACGCGGTTCGGTCTGAGTATGGCTTCTTCTTCGCCTCCTCCAACGACGCGCTATCACTGGCGGCGGGTTCGCAGAGTGTGGCAGCTATGGGACACAGTCACAACGCGATCTCACATGACAAGCGATCCCACGACAGCGATTGTGGGGACTACATGATCCGTCCGTGAAGGGTGGAGGGGCCCGTCCGCGGAGCTAGGCGGTACGGGCGCCCGTCGCCCGCCACCGCCGCCATGGAGATCTGCTGCGTGTGGTGGACGACGAAGGAGGAGGCGCTCGCCGACGCCGCCCCGTACACCGTCCGGTCCGTGTTGGTGCCCGCCGCTTCCTTGGCGAACACGTGGAGGAACTGCTTGGTGGGCGGCGCAATGCCACCCAAAGTTTCCACGAGCACCAGCCGCGTTATGGCTCTCTTGACCCACTTCGCGTCGGTAGTACTGCGCCCCCATCCACCCAGCCTGCATTCTTCTTGACCCATCCGTCTCCATACGCGTGGTCTTTGACCCATCCCTTTCCAGTCGAGTGGTCGAGCGGTCCGTCCACCTGACGGCCACGCTCCTTCGCTTGCACCCCACGACCGCCGTCAACGCCTTGTCCAGCGTGTTTCCAAACACCCGTAGAGGTGGCCCACCGTGCACCGACGCCACATTGCCACCATTGAGCATTGTCCCACGAGCCCCTCCCCGACGTCGTCGACTTGATGAGCGGGTAATCTAAAATAGTACGTACGTACTTTTAGCTTCTCTCTCCCCTCGTACGGGAATGCACGCGTAAGAGCCACATACTTAAAATCCCTGTGTGGTGGCGGCGTGCCGTCCTCCCATCCCTCCCTTGGGTTGTCGGTTTTCTTTCTTTCTTTTTCGTAAGAGCCACCTCGTGAGCTGTCCTGTGAGCTGTGTGCTGTGTGTTCAGCAGTCCGGACCCGGTCGGTGCTACGGCTGTGTGCCGGTGAGAACCTTCTTTTCTACCAGGCTAGCTCGCAATCCTTAGACCTTTGGTACGATTGTGAGCGCAGCCGCTCATTAGAGATTAGTCCTACAAGATGTAGGATTGCGAGCAGCACTGCTCGCAATCGGAGGCATGTTGCTAGGATTGTGAGCCGTGCTGCTCGCAACCCTAGACTTTGCTCGGATTGAGCGCGCTGGTAGTAGGCGTCACCAGTCATCTTGGGAGCGGAGCTGCTCTTAGTCCTAGAAGCAGCCTAGAAGATGTAGGATTGCGAGCGTAGGTGCTCACAATCGCACAGAGATGCTACGATTGCGAGGAGTGCTGCTCACAATATCCTTCGGCTTCTTAAAGGATTGAGAGCGAGGCTGCTCTCACTCACTCAATCCTAGCCTGGTAGAAAAGAAGGTTCACCTTGTGTGCCTCGTGTCGGCTCCCGAGCCAATCGTGTGGAGCGTGTGTGTGCGTGTGGGCCCGTCCTCCATGCTAGGAGGTGTGTAACACTGACTGACTCACACATACGACATATTCGACACCCTCGAAGACCATCTCGGCTACGGTTCCGACTCCGGCTCCGGCTGGTAGTCGACAAGCTGCCGAGCGCAAATCACTCTGTGTGACACATTTCTTGTTGGCTTCTAAAAATCTCTCTCTCACATACGACCGCCTTTGAGTTTGTTTTAGCAGCTCGCGGCGCGGCCCTTGACATGCCAGCCAGCTCTAAAGGGCGCACGCGGGTTGGAGAGGAGGAAATCGCGTGGCTGCTGTATGACTCCGGAGTACTCAAGGTCAGGCCGCCGACTGCGGAGAGATTCATGGTCCGGATGAGGCCTGGCGATGATCCTGCGGCAAGAGCCGCCGCAGAGTACCGTGTGCGCCTCGGCAGAGCTGCATCGTTGCCGAGCACGAGTGCACCGCCACCGCCTCTACCGGCCGCTGCCGCCGCTCCGGCGACGACGGCCGCCATTCGCGCCGGGCCTGCAGCCCCTCCGGCCTCGTCCCCGCTGGCACCAGAGAGCAAAGCCCGCAGCAGTGGATACTACTACGCTGCGGTGCCGAAAGGCGAGTGCGTCCTGCCGGTTGCGGCTCCGGTGCCCATCTCTGGGCGAGGGCACGCGGGCAGCGCTGCAGCTGGCGCGATCCAGCGGGACCTGGAGGTGAGGGGCGCGGAGAACTCCTACTACTACGCTCACGCTCGAGCCAAGGACTACCATGTGCCGACCGTGCCACAACGCATCGCGCCGGACGGTTCACTCACGCCGTGGGAGAAAGAACCATGATAGCATGCCTCGTCGCTCGAGTACACTCGACAGTGCGCGCGGCGTCCCCCCGTCTGACGTCATTTATGTGTTTTTTTCTCGTCTCGGTGGCACAGGCCACAGCCACAGGGTGCACAGTTTTATATGAGTTATGTGATCCACATCGGTACGTGTGACATGGATTTCGCGTTAGTTACTAGGGGTGAGGAGCGGCGCGGTGGGCACACACACACAAATTCTCAACAAAGATTAGCCACCTGCGCGCGCTGGTGCTCTCCCTGGACCCTGCGCGGCACGGCTAGCGGTCACTCGCTTGCTTTTTTTCGCTCCAGTCCTGCGGATCTTCAGACCGGGAGGGCTACGAAGCCTTCACACTCCAAGGGGCTGATTAGCGGTAGTGGGTAGAGCTGTTTAACGTTGGGAGCTGAACAATGTTGCTACTGTTACGTAACAGTAACAACAGAACAACAGAGTGGGGCTCCCCAACAACAGTAGCTAACGTTAGGCCGGCTGAACAACAATAAGTAATAAGGAAGGCCTGGCAGTGACCCACGACGATCTCCAGCGTCCAGTGCGGGTAATACCCGAAAATACCCGGGAAATCCCAGGTATTTTCGCGGGTTTTACCCGGGTAGCGGGTTTTTTGCACCGTTCTGCTTGCTGGCCGCTGAACAACAGTAACAACAGTAACAAACAGTAACAGCATGGGCTGGGGTGAACACTTGAACAACGTTAAGGATTTCAGCCAACAATAGCGCAACTGTTAGGCCCAAAGTTAATGTTAAACAGCTCTAGCTAGCGGCTAGGCCAAAAAAAGTCTGCTGGTGTGTGCCCGCTTCGGCCTTCTCGCCGGGGGGGGGTTGGACCCAATCGGTTCACCACTCTAGCTGCGACGCGCTGTTCCGCGCGCTGTCCGTACTGACATCGCTGTTCGCCAGCCGCATCCCCGCGAGAGCTCCGGCCCCACCAAGGCTCGAGCGCTCAGCGCGGCGACCCGGCGACACCTCAGGTCAGTGTCACCTCCCCGTGCCGAGAGCGCACCGAGCGCATCGCGCCGAGTGCCTCGGCCTTGCGCACGAGTTGCTCCTTGCGTATCCGCAGCCGCTCGACCTCGGCCTGCGCGCGGCCAAGCGCCATCTCCACGTCCTCGACCTGCTCACAACACGAGGTGTGAAGAGACGCTGCTCACAGCTTGACTAGCGCCGTCCCCACGTCCTGCCCTCGAGATATGCGGAGATCTTCCGCATCTAGAGCCCTCGACCGCCGCAACGCCGCCGCCGACAAGGAAGGGGCCCGACCGGCCGGGTCCGGCGGGGAAGGCGGGGTACGCGGCCGCCGTCACAACGTGAACGGGTCGCGAAGAGGGCAGGGCACCCAGCGCCCCGTCCCTCCCCGGCCTGTCCCTCCCCAGCCCTTCCCTCTGCCCTTCCCTCAGCGGCTCCTCCTCGTCGTCGAGGTACGACACGCTCGGCGCGTCGAGGGACGGAGATGCAGGGACGTCGGCCGCAGGCCCCCTCCTCCGCGCGGCGGCGAGGGCGGAGAGGGACACGGAGAGCGAGGAGAAGAGGCCCGACTCCTCTGCGGGGTACGAGCCGCCTCCTGCGGGGTACGAGCCGCCTCCGGAGCCTACTGCAGCAGCGCACCAACACACCGCCGTCAGGCTTTGAGGGTCCTGCGCGGCACACGACCTCGCGTGCATGCGGCACAGCGAATCACGTGCTCACGACGCGCGCCTCCCGGAGCGTCCCCATATCTCCCCATATCTCCCCACATCTCGCGCGCCTCCCGGAGCGTCCGCGAGGTCGACATCGTCGCTCGACGCGAGGACGTACTGCCTACGCGCGACAAGGAAGTGTCTAGGAAGTGTCTAGGAGGTGTCTAGGAAGGGACGTACCGCCAACGCGCGACAGCACACGCCTCGCCTCTCAGAGGTGAGCCGCCCCCCCCCCCCCCTCGAGCACCGACACTGCGCTTGAGCTGTCTAGCAGGGAGTGTCTAGGAAGTGTCTAGGAAGTGTCTAGCCTTGTCGTGCCGGCGGTTGGGGGAGTGTCGCCCAGCGGAGACTCCACGACGCCGAGCGGCTCGCCAAACCGCCTAAGGACACGGCGGCGGGGCGAAGTGCTGCACGTCTGGACGGCGACACCGCTGAGCCTGGTCACCACCGCGCGCTCGCCCCACCCACCACCCCGGTTGGACCCACCCCGGCTGCCGGGAACTCTCCAGTGCGCGTGCGAGAGCGTTGCGGCGCGCCCAAGGTAGCCGGCGGGCTGCGGCTCGGGCTGCGAGTAGAGCGGCGCCGACAGCAGCGCGCCAAATGGGTGGGACCACGAGAGCGGCCCTCCTACGCCGAGCGTGTGCGGCGTCAGTGCCGAACCCCGCCGGCTCGCCCCGAGGCTTGCGTGGGCGGCCCGAGTCGGCGGCGGCCAGAGCACACAGCGCTGCGAGGAGGACCAACGAGGCGAAAAGGCCAACTCTGCGCAGCAAGATGGGCGCGAGGCGAAGCACGTTTCCAAACGAGCCAGTCGTTCGCGGCCGTGGCTGGCGGGCCGCGTCCTGCGCGACCTCGGCCCGCCTCGCGAGCGTCTCGTTTGGGAAAATCTGCATGAGGAGTCGTGCAAGGAGGCGATTGACCTGCAGCCGCTGATGCGCGGGCTGGCGGCAAACGGGACACGCGGAGGTCCGCCGGAGCGCCGCCCGGACGCAGGAGCAGCAGAACGTGTGTCCGCACTGCAGCGAGGTTGGCTCGTGCAGGATGGAGAGGCAGATGGCGCAGGTGACGTCCTCCATGATAACGTGGTCTTCAAGCACGGCGTTCTCGACGTCCGCGACGGAAGGTGGCTTGCGCAGGGGGGCCAGGGTGGCAAACGGAGGTGGAGATCGCATCACACCACACACAACCACCGCGTCGGACGGAGCAACTCAATGACAGATGATCGCGAAGTATTTTTTCTCTTTTGACGGCCTACGGGACTACCGCGTTTTCTACATGTACTAAGCTAACCTAACGGGACTCTCTAACGCCGCGCCTGGAGAACACACCTCCCTCTCCCTTTTCAATCCTGTGAAGCTAAAGATACGACGACAGGGAAGCGCCGCAAACCCGCATCGTGAATAAACAAGGATGGTCAATCAAGGTACAAGGAGAGAGGAGACATCTCCCAAGCGCCGCGTCAGCGCGGCAGAATTTTTCTCCCAACATTTTTTCTTCCTTCGATGAGAAATTCTGCCCCACGCTGCTACCTGTCGGCTGTCGCGCGTGGGAGAGAGAGATTTTTAGCAATACCAAATAAATAAGTCTATCGTGAGCCAGCCACTTTTGAGAGAGAGAGATTTTTGAATTCTCTTCTCCTTCCGCTTTCATCTCTCTCTTCCGCTTTTGTTGTGTCCGTTTGTTTTTGTTTTTGTTTAGTTGCCGCTTTTGCGGCAGCCGACCGCGGAGGTCGAGCGCGCCGCGTGCGCGGAGATCGACATGGCGAGCGACCGTCAAGCGTTCCTATTCTTATATTGTGTGTGTGCCAGTCCGCGCCAGTCCGCGCCCTTGTCGTGCCAGCGACCCGTCGTTTTGTTATATCCCGACTCACGACGCAGCGGGACGGATTTGCGACTGGACACGTCCGACACGCTCGCTCGCTCGCTCGCTCGCGAACAAACAACCGCGCGGCGAAACGCTCTCGTGAGCCAGCCGCTTTTGCGGCAGCCGGCACGCGCGACCGGATGAGCCTCCTCGGCGATGCGCCTTCAACATCCAAGCGCGAAGCGACGGCGGCGGAGCGGCTGCACGCGAGTCTCATGGCGTATTTGCTCGGCACCGCTGACGAGAAGAGCCCGCTCTCTGTCCTCTCGGGTCACTCCGATGTGCTTCGGCTCATCTGGCACGTGGTCAACAACGCTTGGAAGCGTGAGCAGATGATGACTGCGCTGCAAGCCCAGGAAGAGAAAAAGCTCGTCGCCTTTGCGCATGTGGACAACGTGACGTTCCCGGCGCCAAAATCGATCAATGTGAACATGATGCCATTCATCCTCGGCGACAAGAAGAGTCTGCCCCCGGAGCTGCACGCCTACTGGCCCATGATCGCCAAGTGCACGTCGACGCTGCACAGGTCCGACGGGAAGGCGTCGCCCAAGGATCGCGTCGGCTATCTCACCGTGCACGAGAGCGTCGTGCACGAGGGTGCGTCGCAGCGGCGGCCCGGGCTGCACACAGAGGGCTTCAACCGCGACGTGTGCGACAGTGGCAAGGTGCACACGCTGCCGCGGTGGCACCCGTGGGGCTTTGGGCACGCCATGCGCCACGGCCAGTTTGAGGGCGGCCTCTTCATGGCGTCGAACGTGTCCGACAGCTGCCACATCTACAACGCGATTGTGCCGACGGAGCTGGTGGGTCGCGGCGGCGACGTCGAGCCGCTGCGGCCCTGCCTGAACGAGCGCTTCCCCAGCGCGCCCAAGCCGCGCACGTGCTGGCCGGCGGACGACGAGAGGTACGGCAGTCACGCGGGCTGCGCGCGCTGCGATATGCACTTGGAGGGTGACGACATCTTCGACCAGCGGCGCGTGACGGGCCCGATCGCGCTGCGCGCGGGCGAGCTCGTGTGGTTCACCGACCGCACGCCGCACGAGAGCCGTCCGCTACCGACGGGACAGCCGCGCCAGTTCTTCCGCCTGGTCACCGGTGGCGTGGATACCTGGTACGCCGCCCACTCGACGCCCAACCCGCTCGGCACCCAGCCAGACGCCGCGGTCGTGCACTACGACAAGTTCACCGGCGAGCCCGCGGCGGCCCTCGTCGAGGCGGCGCCGACGCGGCACGCCCGCGGCGCGGCGTCGTCGTGTGCCGGCAGGCCCTCGCTGCGCCAGCTGGCGGCCGCGCTGGCTAAGGAGTGCCAGGTGTGACGTGAGGGATGCGCGCAGCGCTCAGTTTCGGCGGGTCGAGGGGTGGAAATTCTGGAATGTGGAAAAAGCAGCCGAGTGTCTGACGGTGTCCCAACAAAACATCGAGTGACGCACTAGTTCACTATACACAGAGTAACGGTGAACAGAGAGGGCGGCGGACACCACACCTCGCGCCTCACCAGCGCCTCACTCGGGCGGCGGCGGCGCGGAGAAGGGCTGCACAAACTCGGCCCGCCGGTGCGCCCCGAGGCAGGCGGTGCTGCAGTAGCGGTACGAGAACTTCTCGAAGTAGACCCGGTCCTCCGGCAGCGCCTCCGCCTCGTTGACCGCCTCGACGTAGCCGCGGTGGCAAGCGTCGCAGCTCCAGTGCCGCACGGTGCGCTCCGGCGGCGGTGGCGGCGTCCAGTAGCACAGGAGAGCGGCCGCGTTCGAGGTGGTGATCCTCTCCTCGTCCGACGCGCTCAGCCCATGCCGGCGCGCACGCGGCAGGAAGGCGCGCTGCAGGAAGCCAAAGCCGCCGCCGCCGCACGACGCGAGCTGCAGCCGCGACGATACCCCGAGCGAGAGGAGGAGGCGGTCGGCGTACCTGAGAGAGCGTCGTCGACGTGCTGTGGACGTGTCGCCGCCAAACAAGAGGGCGAGCAGGCCGGCGGGCGAAGGAAAGAGCGGGGCCCTCGACGCCTCTGTCCGGCCCTTCGAGGGGGGGAAGGGAATTGCGGGGTCCCCACGGGCGCCTCTCTTCGGCCCTCCGAGGGGGGGAGGGGAGCAAGGGGGTGGGGGGATCGGGGCGGTGGGTGGTGCCCACCCTTCGGCGCACAGCCTGGCCAGCGCTGCGGCGAGTCCTTCGTCCGACGGAGGGCAAAGCCAGGGGTGGTCCGACGCACACGCGCCCGGCACGGACCAGCCCATCCCTGCACCGGTGAAGCAGAGCCGCGCGCCTGCGTACCATACCCCCAGAGTCTCGAATCCAGTGTGGGTTCAGTCCCGTGGGTGGTGCGTTAGCAGAGCCGCGCTCCTGCTCTGTGAGCGGCCGCGTGAGGGTGGGAACGCGGTGGGTCGTGCAGCGAACACGATGCGGCCGATTGCAGTCGAACACGCCTCGTCTCGAGCGCTGGTTGGAAGCCACCCGTGGGTCCCTTTCCGCATCTAGCGTCGCGCACCGGTGGCGAGCAGGGCGCGCAGCGCAGCCGGCGCGCCGAGCAGGGTCTGCGCGTGGGCGACGACCACGCGACGCATATCGACGCCGGCGGCGGAGAGCGCGTCGAGAGACGCGACCGCCGCCGCGCCTGACGATTCTGCGGCGTCGGCGCTGGCAGCGCCTCCCGCCGGCAGCGAGCAGAACAGCGGCGCGCCAGACCGCACGTGCGCCGCCGCTAGCACCTCGAGCAGCCTCGCGTGCCCAGGTGTGAGCGGCAGCACCCCCAGCGCGCCAGCGCGCACCGCTGCTCCGCCCGACCCATCCTCCTCCCCCTCGAGGAGCGAGCGGAGCAGCGAGTCGAGCGCCGGGTCCTCCGCCTCGTCGTCTGGCGGCGGCGGCGGCAGCTCGCGCGCCGACGCCCAGCCAACCGTCATAATCACCCGCAGCTTGGTCCTTCTGCAGAGACTGGCCAGGCAGGAGGCGCTGCAGGCGCCGCCGGCGCCGGGCACGCTCGCCGAGACGATGGCCCGGCCACCGACGCGAGCGAACGCCTCGACCTCCGCGGCGGCCACGTCCTCCTGCGGGCCGGTGAGGTTGGCGAGGTTGACGAGCGGCTTTTCGCGCACGGCGGACAGCGTCTGCAGCGTGATTGGCGCATCGCGCAGCGCTGCCTCCTCTACGTCGGAAGGCGGCCGGTGCCTCGACTGCATGCTCCACGCGACGACGTGCTCAAAGGGCAGGGTGGAGCCGAGTTCCGCGGCGGAGCACGGCCCGGTGACAGTGACGGCTTGCAGCTCCGCGGCCTGCGGCTCCGCCTGCATAGTGTGCGCCGGTCCTACCACGCCCTTCTCGTGCCAGCGGTGCTGAGAGAGGCTTGGGAGCTGTGAGCTGTGAGGTCGGAGCCTACAGCGCAACCCACCTCGAGACCATCCCCCGCCTGCTGGCGGTCAGGACCATACCCCCCCCCACGGGCCGTGAGAGTACCATGCCCGCAAAAAGTTGGAACCCAGGGTCGTGCAAAAAAAGAATTTGCTGCTGCGACTCATTTGGGTTCCAATATCCTGCTCGTGCGGACGACAAAAAGAAAACAATTTGCTTAAGCCGATCCCTCCCTTGGGGTTGTCTGTTTCGCTTGTCGCCCTCAAACGCCACTCCCTGCCCAAGCCGGTCGCCCTTAGATGCCCTTGCCCGCGCCGGACGTCCCGGCCATGCCGCGCGTCGGCGCGCTGGCGACTAGCGCGCGAGCACGCGCCAGTCGGCTCCTCGGCTCGCGCAGCGGAGCATTCTTCGGACCCGCAGCTTTTCCTCTGCTGCCATCAACATAAGTGCCGGGGGGGCCGCCCCCCCCCTCTCCCCAGGTCGTTCGTGGCTCTTTTATACGAAGGGACCTAGAAGCGCGCCCGACACGGAGGCAATGTCGCAGGACTCGATCGCCGCACTAGCCGATCGTCTTAGCGCCGTGAAGGGCCCTGCGGCGGCGGTGGCACCGCTCTGCACTCTGATCCTCTACCGCCACATTGTCCGAACGGGCGGCACATCATTGCGCTCCTCCTTTTGCGATGCGCGGACGCCAATGCGAGCGGCCGCTGTGACGTGGTCACCAGTCGGACGGCCCGATAGCATGCCCAGGGGCTGCCAGCACAAGGGCATGGAGGCGGCCAAAGGGCGTGCTGTCGAGAGGTTCCAGACCTGTGCGCTAGAGGGCGATGTTGCCGCCGGAGCGCAAGGTTGGGCAGTTGAATACCACATAGCCAATGACGGCTCGCGCCGCTTCTCTGGCGACGCGCGCAACGTGAGCGATTCGCGGCCGGAGGTGAGGCTGGACAGAGCCGGCGCGCCGCTCGGGGAGCTGCACTGGCGGTGGGGCAGCAGGGCCCGCGCACTCACGGTCCTGCTCTTGCGCGGACCCTCGCACGGCACGAAGGACGCCCGACACACCGCTTGTTGTAAACAGGTGCTCATCGTCCGCGAGCCCTCGAGCTGGTTCCACTCCCAGTGGCTCAACCCGGAGGGGCCTCACATGGGCTGGTCGCACGCCACGCGGCGCAACGTAATGGCCGCTATCCAGCGGCTGAAGCCAAACCCGCAGTGGCGGGCGCTGGTGGGAGACAGCGGCGATCTGCAGTGCCCGCCCGAGGACATTGATTGCGCGCTCGGCCGCTTCGATGTGGTCGGTGTGACTGAGCGGCTGGGCGAGGCCTTGCAACTCGTCTGCTCGCTCGCCGCGTTGCGCGTCTGCCCCACGCTGCGCCACCTTAACTCGAAGCAGGCCGCCAACGAGTCTGCGTCGTGCAGCACATGCGCACGTCATCTCCTCACAGCGCTTGCTTGTAACAGGTCGTCAACAAGTTCTCTGTCGGCGAGTGCCGCCCTGTCGACGGGAGTGGGATGGCGGGAGACTGCTGGCCTGCTGCGGGGCCCAACCAGACGCGGCTGCTGCAGCTCATTGCGGAGGTGCATCTGGTCCTCCCACCGCCGCCCACTCGGCTGCCCCCACGCGCGTCGGCCCTTGCTGCACTTCGAGTGAGAGCCGAGTTCCTGGCCGACATATAGAATTTCGGGGAACAGCGGCCTCGCTTTGCTGCCCCCGAACTCGTGAGGAGATACATTTACCCCACCCCTTTAGGTGCACCCCCTCGACCGTGTGCTGCACGCTGGGGCCACGCGCCGTTTTGAGGGCCTGACAAGTTATATGGTCCAGCTCCAAGGCAGCATACACGCGCGCAGCACGGGGAGCGGCGCGGCGGGCGGCGTCCGCGGCGACAGCCGGCGACCGTGAGCTAACGAGCCATGCCACCCAGGGCTGGACGTCGACTAGTCTCTCTAGGCCCTGAAAGGCTCTACGCGCGGCCTGAGGCTGTCGGAAGCAAGCTCCTCTCTCCCTTCGTACGATCCTACGATGAAAGCGCAACAACACTCAGAATTTATTTATGAAAACACGTAGAGTGGAAGCAACAACGTACAAAAATCCGGGCGCACATAAAGAGCCAAGTGTGTAAGAGAGCACTAACACGGCAAACCCGCACGAGAAACTAATTTTTCATAAAACTGGCGCCGACCCGCTAGGAGGGTCGGCATGGGGTGCGGTGGGCAGGACCTGCGCCACTTGGGCAGTGGATTTGAGCTCGGGGGCGATTTTTAAGCGAAAACCCTCTCCCTTGTGCACCCCGCGTTTCGTGGGGGCGCGCGCGCCGGGGCGCCGTGTGCTCGCCCTTGATCGTATCAAGACGCCCCAGGGCAGTGGGGTCGTCTCCAAGGGACGGTGGAGGCACCAGCGGCCTCACACCTGCACGTTTTGACCTCGACGTAGCTCCCCAATCTCGATTGAATCTCGATGCGCTCTCCACAAATACTCGCTGGAGCCTCCAAACAAGCGCAGTCCGTCACGACACACGCGCAGAATACCGGGTGTTGCCGAGTTTGCTGATTTTGGCCCCAAAACCAGCCTCACTCAGACTCGACTGAGAGCCCGAAAAAAAATGGAGGAGGCTTGCTGAAACCGAAGGTCAACAAAAAGAAAGAAATCGCGGCGCCGGCGGCTTGTGATTTGTTGAGAAGACCTCGATAGAAGCGATGTATTTGGCATTGCTCAAAATCCCTCTCTAGACAGGCAGCAAGAAAGAAACACACCCCGTTATGACAATCAACAACAACCTTCCCGGCGCGCTCACCTGGCCGCGTTTTTTTTTCGCTAGAAGTCAGGGCTGCGAGCGCCCCTGATCCCTAGACGAGTTAATGGGGGCCCGTGAGCATTTAGCTTGTGAGCGAGAGCCAGGAAGGGCTGCCCGCATCCATCCACGCACCAACCACGCCGGACCGACCGGTTGCGGGTTGCGGTTGGGGTGGTGGTGGCCGGGGTATTTCAATATTTGGAACTGACCAGCTTCAGCTGTGTCACTCTGACTGTCGAGCACGCTCTCTGACCCACACCCTGTCCGAAGGTCCCCGAAAGTGCCGATGGCGATGACACGCAGAGTTGTATGCCCAGCCTGCCGCCACACGCGCGTGCCAGTGAGAGCAGTGGGTGACGCTCACTTTCCGGCTGCACGCAATGCGCATGGCTGTGGTGCGGCGCCTGTGCCGCGTGTGCGGTCCCTCAGGGCGCAGAGCCACCCTGCCCCGCGTCCTCCGCGTTCTCCGCATCGTCAGAGTCGCGGAGCGCGTCGTCCTCGTCGTCCTCGTCGTCCTCGTCCTCGTCGTCGGTCGATTGGTGCGACGGGAGGACGACGATGCCATGCTCCATACTGTACTCCGCGTACGGCAGGATGTGGTTGCGGAAGTTTGTGTGGATGGCATCGTCGAGCACACTCGGCGGCGGCCACACGTCAAAGGTAGCCTCCTCCTCGCCGGCTGCTGGCAGGCTGCCCTTTGGCGCGTCGCGGTCGAGGCGCACCACGCCCGTCACCGAGAGCAGGTTGAGCTTTCCGTAGACATTCTCGTTGCAGAAGCCGGCGAGGACATCCTCGTGCACCTGCGGCAGCACGAAGCGCTTCTCCTGCAGCCGCGCCTTGACCTTGTCCTCGAGGTTGAGGCTCGCGATGAAGTCGCTCGCCGCCTTGGCCTCGGCCGCGCTGAAGCACGTCCTGCCCGCGCCGTCGCGGTGGAAGAGGCCGTTTGAGGTGCCGACCTCGACGTCGGCGGCGCCGGGCAGGTAGACGAGCGGCGGCGTGCCGTAGTGCGCCGTGGACTCAAAGACGGCACAGCGCATCCGCGACGCCCAGCGGTCGAAGATGCCTCGGCGTGCGTGAGGCTCATCCATGCAATGGCCGGTCGTCATGTCCAGCGCAAACATGAGCGAGAGAGCCCGCACGTCGTTCCCGTAGTAATCCTCTTCGGACGCCACGGCACTGAGACCCTTGACCCGCTCGCCCGGGTGAAGCTTGGCGAGCTGCTCCGGCCGCGCGTGCTCGAGGAAGCCAAAGCGCGCATGCAGCTCGCCCAGCGTCATGAGCTTCGGGGGGCTGAGCCCAGCGATGTTGCGGAACATGAAGATGGAGTCGTGGTCGCCGAGCGAGAGCCAAACAGGGAGGAGCGGAAGCGTGAAGGCGTCATCGCCGCACTCGCCGAATGTCTGGAGCACACCCTCTACGAAGATCATCTTGAAGGGGACGTACGGCAACTGCAGTGTGCGCGCTAGATCGGCGACAACTCGCATCCGCTCCTCCGACTCGCACACTATGATGTCGTCGGACGGCGCGGAGAAGTCGCACGCTGCCTTGATGCCGCCCACCACCTCTGGCGACTTGACCTCCGGCGACGACGCGACGGGCTGCGAGGCCTTGTCAACGAGAAGGTGCTCGTACACGAAGGATGGGCAGTAGAAGTCGATGACGGGCTTGTTGGCTGCCAGCTCTGTGGCGCTGATGTGCGACTGCGTGAGCACGCGGAAGAGGGTGCCGAACTGCTCGAAGGTGAAGAGCTTGCAGGAGTGCCTGATGATGTCGCCGCCCTCCGCCTGCCCGCTGACCCACTCGATGTGCGCCGCGAGCATCTCTGAGCCCTTGGCGTCGGCGACCGCGAGCACGTACGAGGACTTGTCATTCGCCGCTTCGTGCAGCGCCTCGACGCCCTGCAGCTTGGACGCGGCCTCCTCCGCCGGCGGGAACGTGACGAGGAGCACCTGGCCCGAGTGCTTGCGCATCGCCCAGAGATTGAAGGAGAGGATGTGCTTCTCACCCGCCTCGATGATCCGGCCCTCGTGCATCACATCCTTGCGGAAGACGAGGGCGTCGCCGCGAGTCGTCGTCTCCTTGTACGCCTAATGCAATGGAAGGGGACGGTCATTGGCGGAGGGAGATAGATGGAAGAAAGTTTTAGCCGGACCTGGCTTCCGATGTGGCCGAAGATGACGGTTTCGCCCCCGACGGTGTGCATGCCCGCCGGCGTCACGCAGAGAAGGAGCGTGTACTCCTCGACGAGGTTCGACGTGACTGACAGGTAGTCCTCGTGCTTCTTGAAGAATCCGCCGGTGTGGTACCGAATGTGTGTGAGGTCGTTGCGCACCAAGGTGAAGTCGGCCGATTCATCCTGCGCTGAGAGCTGCTTCACGATGTCCTCAGCGAGGTCGAAAAGGCGCTCGTCGGTGATGCTGCGGAATTCTGAAAGGCGCCGCTCGGTGTCGACCAGCTTCTTATTCTCCACCGCATCGTACAGGTGAGACGTCTGGAAGGGCTGCTTGCACTCTGCAAGAAAGGTGCTTATGCGGCTGACGTCAAGGTTTTTGAGGGCGCGCGTGCTCTGCATGGCGGAGAAGGCGAAAGCGAGTACCAGAAGGCGGCGGAGTGTTTTTTCTTTTATCTCGGTGAAAATCTTCAGCGGAGGGAACCCGTCCGCCTCCCATCCTTCTTTCTTTCTGTATGTAATTTTTTCCCATCCCGTTTTTGCCCATTTTTGGTCATCCGTCAAAATATCTGAAGATCTGAATGGGGGATTCTCCCTCCCCAAACCTTGCTCAGCTGATCCAGCCTGGGGGGAAGGCCAGCCCTGGGCAAAGAAACCAGCACCTCATCAGGCTTCCCTGAGCGTCACAGCTCGGTGATCGCGCCGGCCGGACACCCCTGTAACGTCCGTTCCGGGCATTTGAACGCGACTTTCGGGGGCAAAGACATGAGGCTCTATGGCTCAGACTGGACTCCTCTTGGTCCCTTCTGATGCCCTAGGCCACACCTGGGCCTTACCTGGGGCGCTAGGGGGCGGGCAGGGTTTGCCCCCCCAAACTGGCCCGAAGAACCTTAATCAGTTCCACTCTCTCTCCACAAAAGCCACAGACCTCGCTCACAACGCTTCGAACGTTTGTGTGTGTGTACCAGAGAGATTGTGTGTACCAGAGTCCTGGGAGAGATGGTGTGGGAGCTGTGGGAGCGGCCAACTTCAACTGAGCCAGTTAGCATAGTAGATGGGGGGAATAGGCGCAGGACGACGTCGACGAGTGTCGCGCTCCATCTCTACCCCTCGGGAAAAGGGTGGCGATATCGTCTGTGCTCTCGAGTATCGTCTGTACAGCTATCTCAGCGGCGCTGAAGCTTCTCGCGGGACGGCCTCTCACTGTGGCGTCGCGATTTTCGGCGGTTTACTCATCAGCAGTCATGACAGGCTACGACGGGTGTATCGGCGCTTTGCACACCGTCGAGATAGGTGGAGACACGGCCCCGGGTGTGCTTGGGGCGGGTCTGCAACACTCTGGGAGTCTCCCGGTGCTGCCCCCCCAGTCAGTTTGCCGTTAGTGCAAGAGCGAGCATGCTGCTATCGTGGGGGGTAGTTGTTTGAAGTCTTGTGCTATGGAGGAGGAGGGACGTCCACTGCGGTTGGGTTTGTTAGACCTAAAGGCGCAAAGGCCTAGTTGGTCGAAGCGCCGACCTTTAGGTCTAACAAAACAGGAGCTCCTCTCGGAGGGCGCACCCTCCTGCCCGCCCCAGTCACCTCAGGACCTTGAACTCGGGACTCGAATCACCCTCGCGAGAATCGATCCTGCTTTGTTAGACCTAAAGGTCGGCGCTTCGACCAACCAGGCCACCTTTTGGCCTAAAGGTCGGTACGAAACCTCAGAAGGCCATGGGCGCCGAGAGAACATTCCCCCGAGAGGACAAAAAGAAAAGGCTTCGCACCCTCTCCTTGCGCAGTGACCCTCGCTAAGTGTCGCCGTTATCGGGGCACGCTATCCTGCAGCCCTGGAGGCCCTGGGGATTCGCAGAAGCCGAAAACCTATTTTCCCCGCTCTTTTTGACGTGCGTCCCACAAGTCTGGCCGACTCACCCCGACCCTTCACTCGACAGCTCATGCCGCTTCAGTGCCCGCCCTGTCGCAGTCAGGGCCTTCCGAATTCCAAAAGGCACAGCGAGCAAGCTTTGCGAGGCCCGGTCGCGGCACTCGTTTTTAGCGGCCACCTTCGCGACACCTGCCGCCGGGACGCCTTCCAGGCTCCTGAAGAGCTCTCGTATCTCTGAATGAAGAAGACCATCTGAACGCCACCTTTCTGATACCAGGCGGGCCTGCAGCTCCTCAACCAGACGGTGATGTGCCGCCAGGTGTTTGAGGAGTGCCACGTCTTCATCCACACGTGGAGCCTGCTCGACACGGCGTCCTCTCAACCACGGCGCCTCTCCTCGCGAGAGTGCCTGGACGTGGTGTCGCGAAAGCTGGCGCCGACGGCCGTCACGGTGGAGACCCAGCGGGCGGAGGAGCACGACGAGGACCCGCGGCTGCGGTCATGGGGAGTCCTCAACGAGAGCCTCTTCAAGATCCGGATGAACACGGCGAGCATGCTGGGCGGACTCGACCTGATGTCGCGCCACGAGGAGCAGACGGGCGTCGAGTACAGTGCGGCGGTCCGCATCCGACTTGATCTGGGCAGCTACCGCTGGTTCAAGAAGGGATATGACAAGCCCCTCTTCCTATCCCCCAACGGGTGGGGCAACGTGCGCCACGCCGCCGACGAGCACCAGAGGGGCAAGGTGAAATCCCGCGGCGGGGTGAGCACCTGCACAGCGTGCCGGCTCAAGAGCACGGACTTTTGCCTCTGGAGCGCGCCCGCGGCAGCGCTCCGCGATATGCTCGAGGAGCTTCGCGGCAACCGCTTCGACCGGCTGGTGGTGGGCGGCGGCGGGCTCCTCCCCTGCCAGCAGCGGCTCCGCAACCTCACCACCACCTGTCGCTTTCACCCGGTGGCCTTCTCCGAGAACGTCCTCTTCTGCGCGATGCACGCGGCGGGACTTCGCTTCTGCCCGCACGGCAACGACCAGAACCTGCGTGGGAGAGGGCCCATCCTCGTACCAGCAGCCCTCCCGGCGGTGGTGTGGTCGCGCGAAGCCGGATGGCGTAACGAGAGCAGCATCAACCGGGCAGGGCCCTTTGTCCCTCGCGTGCACAGATGGGCCAAAGGCCGCTTTGTTTATTAAAGTACGGGTGCTACAATAACCGAACCCACGCCTTTTTTGTTGCACCGGAGTTTTAACGCAGATGATAGTGGCTGCGTACTTAAAGTCGTCCTTACTTGTGGGGCGGCCGCGCTAGTCTGGCTATCGCGCGCCACCGGCTCTCTCCCGTCGCTTCGCGGCACAGGCTTTGTCACCACTCTCGCATTGCATCGTGAGGTACGAGTCGCCGAACAGAGAAGACCTCAGCTCGGGCTTCTCGTCGGCTGATATCTTGACTGACGGGTCGCGGAGGGCGGAGATGGCGGTCGCACCCAAGCGCTTGTATTCAGCGAGCGGCAGAGGCTTGAGGTTCTCGAAGGCGGCCTTTGCTCCCGCTCGTTTTGCCGAGAGGCACGCATCGTCATCGCGAGTGCAGGACACCTTGAGGTAGTCACCTGCGCTCGCGCTAGTGGCAGAGAATGCATTCGCGCCTGCCGCAGCGAGGAGGGCGCGGCGGCCAAATGCATTGGCCGGAGCTATCAGAAGCAGGAGGAGACAAACGCCCATGTCGCGGCGAAGAACCGAATAAAAAACGCCTAGCGTTGTTTCATAACATCGAAGGCTAAGCTCATAAAAAACAAATTTGCCGAATGCGTGTCGTGTCCGAGCCTGGCTGTTCTTCACCTTTCTACCTACCTACCTGTTCATGTCTGGTGTTCATTATAGCTCCGAGTAGAGGGGGCGGTCTGCTGCTAGGGGAAACCCGGAGCGCGGAGCCAACCCTCGGAGACGCGTGTTTACTTTAAGGCCCTTTCCCTGCGAACGCGCACCCCCGGGGCTAGGGCTCTCTTGCCCGCAACCCGATCCCGATCATCCGGCCCGCTGGGTGCGCTTCTTAGCTCCTCGGCCCTCACCCTTGGGCGTCCGCCTCTTCCTATCTCTCTTCGTTCGCAGTCTCTCGCCGATTCTCGCTGCAACCTTCATGCCACCTCGCGGTCGTCCCACTCTCGTCGTTCTCTCTCTTGTCGCTTCTTCCTCTGTCGCGTCGCTCTCCTCTGCCTCGTTCTGCGACGGCGCCGCCGCCTGCCGCTCCCTTGCTCTCGCTGCTTCTCTCGCCTTTCGTCGCAGCTCTGCCCTCCTCGCGGCATATTTTGGCCCCTCGAGTTTATCGAGCTCTCCTCGCGCAAGGACGACTCTTCTGACGCCCACTCGGATCATTTGTCGCCAAGTCATATCGTTGCTCAGGTCCACTCTCTCTTCGAACACTTGTACCTCCACGGATGATGCTGGCGCTGGGGTCCCCTTCGGGTGTATCGTGACAGCTGACGACGGGATATTACCACAGGTGTTTCATCCTCCTCGGGTTCGTCTTCCCCGGCTTCCTGCCGTTCCACCTCGAGACCTCGAGACCTCGAGACACGAAGCCTTTCAAAGGCGCCCTAGGATCCAGCCCACCTCGCACGCGAGACCCCGTCGTTCACTTCGCACGCGCGACCGAAGCCGTCATGGCGAGCGAGGCCATCCAAGTCGTCGTCCGGGTTCGCCCCCCCAATAACAAGGAGAAGAGCGAGGGCACCCTTCCCATCGTGACCACCTCGACCGAGCGGCAAGAGGTCTGCCTCATCCGCGGCACTGGCCATCGCGCTCAGAGGAACATCTTCAAATTCCAGAATGTCTTCGGCTCGTTTAGCACCCAGCAGGTGCGTGCAGCTCATGACCGGACCTGAGAAAGCGTGAGACATCCAAGTCGCCCGTTCCCTCTCAGGATGTGTTCGACAGCACCATGCTGCCGATCCTCGGCGACGTGCTACGCGGCTATGAGTCCACTCTCTTTGCGTACGGCCAAACCGGCACGGGCAAGACGCACACGATCGAGGGCCGGATCGACATCCCCGAGGAGATGGGCATCATCCCGCGCGCCGCCGAGCACATTTTCACCGCGCTGCAGGGCGAGCACGTTCTGGAGAGCACCTGCACCGTCTCGTATCTCGAGATCTACAACGAGGTGCGGCGCAGCGTGGAGATGGCGCTCTGTCGCTGACCTGAGCACTGCACCACACCAGATACCCGTCACCCTACCGGACACCCGCCCTCCCGTGTCGTTCTCATGCACATCTCTTGCTTATGGGGTGGCAGAGGAGGATGCTCGCACCTGTCCGCTTGCCGTCCGCTGCCAGCCCTCCACCTCTTGGTGTATCGCTCTACGCCGCCCTGGCGCCACCGCTCCTCTCACCAAGTGCCGCCCTGGTCCAGGTGCTTCACGATCTCCTCTCGCCAGCGGACGAGCCTGGCGCGAAGCTCGCCATCGTCGATGACAGCAAGCAGGGCAAGGGCGTCCACTGCGCCGGTTTGCTCACGCACGAGGTCAACACCCCCGAGGACGTGCTTCGC